CAAATTTAAATCCAGCTTCATGTTGGTGAAGCTTAATCATGATGTTATCACTAAAAAGAATATTCCTATTAAACTGGAATAACGTATTTTTAATTATTTCATAATTTACACAAAATATGTAAAATTTAGTGGCGCACATTTGAAACTAAGCATAAAGGATCATATTCCAGTCGACTGAATATGAAAACTCAAAAAGAATTATGTCAAAAAGTCAGAATGAAGAGAATGCTTGCAGTAGAGGTAAATATTGATACGAAAAATCTCGAGAGTCTTTACCAATAGATTAAATTGCAAACGATATGTAATTTCATACAGTTATCTTCATATCTAGAAAACTAGTGAATGCCTTTAAAGATTTTTCATGATTTAAATATAAGTACAAACTCGTGCATGCTTGTGTTGTGGAGATGAGAAAACGATGAGGATTAATTTATCAAATTTCATACAACGGAATAGACAAAACAAAAATAATCTATAAAAAAAAGTTTCAAGAAAAACATGGAAAAGTGGATTTGTTTCTGCACAATAAATTTGAATTTGAATTTATGATCATCAATAGTGCATCTATTGACAGATAGATAGTGATGGAGAAAATACTTCGATATGCATTTGGAAAACAAACAAATGGTGTCATAAAAAAGCAATAGCACCAAATAGTTTTTCTTTCTACATTCATAAAAATAGAACATGATCAAAATATGTCGTATGCCCAAAATGAGTCATTTCCTCTATTTTTTTTGCTTGCATACACAAACAAAAATGGATATAGTTGTATGTACATATGGACGAAAATTTCAAAAAAATATTATTATTTTGATAGAATGGCGTAAAATGTACAAAACTGTTAAAATTAAAATGAATTTTAAAAGGTACGAAAATGGGAATTTAAAAAATAACATTTATTATTGACTAAATATTTATAAATAGTTTTGGACACAGCTTTTATATGGATGTTTATATTTTCCAATTTAAATGCAATAAAAATTTCAATTAATTTCTTGTTTATTTTAAATTGGTAATATTGACTCTAGTAAACACCCTTTTTAAATCTAGGGAGCGTAACTCAATAAGTATTCAAAAAAAACAAATTAAATTAACCAGATTACATTAAAACCTCCAAACTTTAAATTTATCAAACATTTAAATGATTAATTAAACTAGGCCGTTGAGAATACATATTTCAGAGTATAAAGAAAATCACATTTACATCCATTGTGAAATAAACGATAATTTTTAGACAAAAAATTCTACGAAAACTCCGTCAGCATGATTTATTAGTCACAATCCACTCGTACCTAATTAGCTACTTAATGAAATATTAATGAAATGATTTATTGATTTCCATTGATTCTCACATATCGTGATGAAAATCCTTCAAAATATATTCATATTCATTGTAGAAATCTCGCCATTCAATCGATCAAATTTATTTCCATTTATAAATCCAATTTTCTGTTTATTTGCATAAATATTCATACTTTTATGTTTGTTAGCAAACAAAAGGAGGAGAAAAAGCAAAAAAATAAAATGTTTGCAAATGAAGAGGAAGAATGAATCGGAAAAATAATAGCAATAATAAAGAAATAACAGTAATAACATAAATTTTTAATGGCATATATGCATGTGATTAAGTATCACAATTCTTTACTATCACGTTTTGTAATTTTGACCAATGCCAAAAAATACTTACTTATATAATAGTACTCAATCATTTCCTTCCATGCCTTCTATTATAAATCATAAAATAAAAATGGAAATGGAAAAAGGATATGGCTCATGACCTTGCGAATATTTAAGCCAGAAATATATTTCATTTTTGTGCTATCAAATAATTAGTAGAATTATGAGGTAGGAATTAATGATCAATAATCCTACAGCTAATATTTTTACAATTAATCAAATAATGCAAACGGAATTTCTTACGATTCATTTTATGATTTTTAATTTAACTTTTTATTTGTTGCTATCATTCTGATTATTTATAATTTTTATTGACTTTTACTTTCAAAGTGTGTGTATTTGGGCAACTAGTGTATTTATGGTGATGAAACAGGAACAATGCATCAAAAATTATGTTACTTTTCGATATCGCTATCTTGAAGCTTAATCTAAAATTAAAATTTCGAGTCTTCAGCTTAAATTTTTTACAACAGCAAAAACTTTCTCTGCCTTTAAATCGTTTATATAACCAGGAAATATTTCCTTAAGACAAGGAAATAACCTGCAGTTAACTCCATTTAAAACATAATAACTGTATAGATAGGGACAATCTAAGAAATAACGGAAATGACAAAATAACCAGAAATAACGTGTTTATTGACGGTGAATGGTAAAAATTCCATCAATATGCTGATTCTAATCAATGCGCGAGCAGAAAGTTGTTTTCTTTCATGCTCGCTTTTCGCCAAAACTCTCGTTATGTATGTAGTTATAAAAGTGGCTCTTACCATTATGTGTGACTGTGTGACGAGAACTGAATGAACGTTGGACTTTTAATGTGACTATAATTCATTCTTGTTCACAAATACAAATCGATACAAATTCGTTTGGCTACTTTTGGAGAACAATTAATTGCTGTATATCCAAAAAGTCATTGTTGCCATTATGTCTATTGGGGAATTAATAGGCGAAAAACTTCATGGAATCAAACTGTGTCAATGTCGGTAATGAATGGAAGTTTTTCATGCTCACTATGAAACAGACATGAACTTTTTCACTAATTTGTATTCTATCCATTTCCATTGATTTTAATATTGCATCTGACTTTTTTGGTTGAGCACGTGCTTGATTGTTTAAAAAAACACACATTCTAATCGGAAAATGAGGATTTTAAGGTTAAAAATATGTACTCCAAGCAACGAGTATGTCGAAACTTACAGATTTAATTGCCACATACATTTAAAATTTTAAGCTTAGTCAAAATTAAGAAACCATCAAAAAACTTCAAGAAAACTTAACTTAATATACTTTTTAGTCTTCTTCCTCTGTGGAACATGAAAACAATGATCGTAAAAATGTCAACTCGAATCACGCAATATTTTTTGACTAGTGCAAAAGATTAGCTTTAATTCATAACATAAGCTTCTTTTCCTTTTTTGGACTAAAAATAAAAATAAATGTCACTAACAATGTCGCCTTTCTTTTCTGTCTGCTAATAAGTTTTATTTCGTTCATGCCATGACACTTGAATTTTCGATGCAAACAAGATTATTTAATAAATAGAAGGAAGAAGTAACTTACATGCTTTAATTATATTTTAAGTTCTTTCATCACTTTTGACATTCATTACTTAGCTAATGTATTTTGACGATTCATTATTCCCATATCATCAATGCTCTCGCATATTATAATCTTTTAATAATTCCATACAAAGATTATAATATTTTCTGTTTTGAAGATTATACTCTGCATACAAAGAATTGTTTTTAAAAGATTATAATCTGCGGGAGCCTTAAATATCATGCTATTATTTATAATTGACAATTTGCTATCTAAATTCCTTTATCATGCACTATTTATTAATGATATTATTATTAAAATTTTATTTTCAAAACGTTAACCATCAGGATTTTTATAATCAATAATTGCAGCCTTATATAAAAAAGTGTCACTCTTTTAATATGTATGAATAATTATTTTGAAATTAAGACAAAGTCAAGCACTGTATATAGTTTTCAGTATTTGAAATTTTTCAATAAACATTCGCACTTGCATTCTATTAAAATCAACGATATCATACAAAAATTGCTGGTTGGTTAAGCATTTATATATTGCTATTCTACATATTAATTACAAAAAAAAAGAGTTTTTATATATTATGTTATCTACTGGCAGGTGCAATCAGTTGTAGTTTACATCGTCCTAATAATAATGCAAATCGATTCAAATGTCACCAAATGACATTTATAATAAACACTCGTCGGAGTTTATAATACATTTTTCCTGAAATTCTAAATTGCTTTTTTGATCTTTTTATTTAAGCTATATTACTTGAACAAAACTATTAGGTTTTCGAGAATTAATGATCATGTGCTTAGTGTCAATAAATTGCAAAATTTCAAATCAATCAGCCAAGAAGAAAATGCCTTCAAATTGATGGAGCAAAGCTTAATAGAAACAGAATAAAATAAAAAGTTTCGGATAAAAAAATAAATGAATGAAAAGTTCACGAAAAATGTTCTTTGATATTTACATTGTATGCAACATGCAATAAATTTTTAGCCCAATTCGTTTATAAGGACTGCAATGTTTTAAAATAAAATTTTCGTATAAAATTGCATTTCTTTTATTTTTTTAAACTTTTAAACAAAGTACAAACAAAAAAAGAGCATAACTATAGTTCTGTAAATCTATTCTATAATTCAGCAAATTTAGCTTAACTTAATAAACCAAATTCTACTAAATCCATTTATTAGTTCGCATGAAGTTGTTCACTTCATTTAAATATTTAGGTATACCAAAAACATTATTTTATAAACTCGCCACACACTAGAAACGAGCTAGTTTTATAAAAAAAAATATAACCACTAAAAGTACAAATAACAATTCAAGTGATAGAAAAAGGTTCATTTCATGTTGGCAAGAAACGAACGAAAGAAAAAACATTAATTTAAACAACTTGAAAGATAAATTTTAGCATGCAACTAGTACTTCCTCCTATTTCCTTCCATGTCGGCTCTTCTTTCATGCACATAAATCCATTTGCTTTTTTTTTTGTAAAAAATTGCAAAATTTCCATTCCATACTGTTCCATACTATTAAGAGGATTTTAATTGAAATTGTAAGTCGTCACTATTCGTGCTGATTAGATCAATTTGATTTAACTAGCATGAACTTTTGTATTAATCATGACAATTCCAGTTTTGATTATAAAATTCTCATGTTAAATAAAATTCTTCTTCCTATTTAGTCTCGCTATTTTTTTTTTGTAAATTCGCTTCTGCAAGGAAATGTCTTTAAGAACTTTTTTATTAGAATTCTTTAAATATCATTTGTTTTAGTGTGCACAAGGTCGGCAAGCATGGCTTGAACGTGGTCGACGATGCAGTGTACAAGATCCAAATCAAGCTTCCTTTAATCGGCGGTGGATGAAAAGAAATAGAGTAAGTAAAATTGCTTATTTCTAATCTTTTTTAGGTCATCACAATTTTTTAATGCAGAACATGGATATCAGCCACATGAGATATGTTTAATAAAATTAATTTTAAGTTGAAAAAAAAAATATTTTTTAGGAAAGAAGGTTTATTTATAAAAACAGGGGTTTACTTATCTTAAACTATTATAAAATCCAAGATTCCACTTCCCAATTAAATGAGAACATATTAAGTGAATGATTAATTTTTAGGTACAAGATGCTTCAATTGGAGGTTCGTCAGACGATGAAGATCTTTTAGGTGTAATCAGAGGCCCAAGTTCATTTGCCAATGCCTTCCTATATATAGGTAAATGCTGAGTGTTTGCAATAATTTATCCAAATATCTTATTCTATTGTCATTTGCAGGTTTAGGAACAATTTCTATCGGTTCAATTATATTTTTCGTAGGAACGGGAGAAAAAGGCTTTAAGACTCAAGAATTGAGATTGATAGGGCCAGTATTAGCAAGTATGCAAATTTACACTAAGGATGAATGATGACTTAATTCTTATCTAAATATGCATTTCTAATTTTTTTCCTTCTTTTTATGTCGTTAAATATTGATTGTCATCATAGTAATTGGTGTTGTATTTTGTGTGATTCGTATCCTGTTTTGCGTATGTCCATCACATTGTATTAGTAGACGTGAGCGTAATAAAAAGAATTCAAAGGTAGATGCTGATCATCGGACTTCCCTCCTTGGCGACACTAAACGTGTATCGATAGCACGTGGCTCGTATATCAATGTAAGAGTTTCTATGAGAATTTTTTAATTTTAATTTTTGAAGCATAGAAACCTGAAAGTTTTATATAAAAAAAGATAGTTGCTGATGGAAAAAGGAAGCAGATGTGATAATGATAAATTGATGTACTCTACGTGGTGAAAAGAATTATCATCTGAAAAATTGAACAATTTCTGGAAAGCCTTTCAGCTTGGTTGTTAAAAATGCAAAGTAATGTAAGGCATAAAGCTATCATACTGAATGTGCATTTGAAAAATCGAATTCATTTTATGGTGTACTTGAAAATGTATTTTTATTTGGACATGCACCTAATTTGTTTATGACATAATATCATTATCACATTGTGTACAAATTCCATGCACTTCCGATAAAAATTGCTCTATTCATTTTTATTATGTTTATTTTTTCTAGAGTAAAATTCCAATGTCATCATCACAATCATCCCAATTTCCACCGAAATCGATAGTTAAAAATAAATCATATGAAGGTGTAGAGACATTAAGACAAATTGCATCAACATCATTATTTTTAGACAAGGAACAAAAATCTAATGCAATTTCAGGAGGTGGATTATGTCAGACAATACCGACAATAAAGGAGCCAACGGATGAAGGAAGCAGTAATGCGTCGCTCATAAATTTAATGCCACAAGCTAATGATGCAATTCTAGAGCCGCCAATTGAGATGATGATGAAAATGGATACGCTTAAAGTCGATACATTAAATGTCATAGATATTCTTAGTTTAACAGATTCCGAAACTGAACGCGAGATACATCAAATTGATATAAATCAGGAAGTAGTTATTCCTCGAGTAGAACCAACATCATTATTTAGTGACGATGACGATAAATGCGATGTTGGTGATCTTAACGAATTAATCGAAGACGAAAGTCAATTAGATAGTGATGGAAATAAAAAGTCAACAGCAATTAATAAACTTAATAGACAACGTACGTCATTAAATCAATCGAAAGTAAAAGATGCTGATACATTATTGATGGAGACATCACTTATGATAATTGATCCTGCGCCTTTATCACCACCACCGTTTTCACCACCACCATTGCCGATTAGTCCCAATATAGTAACGACAACGTTCAATATCCCATCGACATTATCCCTAACGCTTCCTCTGACAAATACGACTACATCATCGTCAGCAAATGCTGCCATTAGTGGTGAAAATAGCACAGAAGATAGACAACATATATCAGCTTCGGATGGGGGATCAAGAAGACATAAGCATCATCATCATCACCACCATCATCACAAAGGATCATCATCGCATAAACATAAACATTCTTCAAGCACTGGACGTTCAGCATCTACTGATGAACGAGGTCAACCAATCAAGGATAGTCATCAATTTACCGAAGCTGAATTAGTTTTAAGTCCATCAAAATTAGGGCAGTAGTAAGAATAAATAAGAGAGTAATTATTAAAAAATAATAAATTAAAGAAAATACTTAACATTACACTTATAATAAATGAGGAAATAAGTATATATGAAGGAATAAAATAAGAATATACATATATATATATATTTGGTATACAGCTCATAATAATGTCTTACTTAAATACTTATGTATATTGCGAAATACAAATGATGCATGAAAAATCTTGAATTTTTAAAAGCTTTAATTTTTATTAATTCCTGGTGTGAGGATTTGAGTTTTTGTGATTATTTTTGATGTTTTATGATTGATCGTTAGCTTGTAATTTTAAGTTCGGTTAGTTGAAATTATTTTCGAAGATAGAAAAGGACTTAAAAAACTTACATCAGATTTAAATTAAAATATGAATTCTTTCAATTCAAATATTTTGAGGACAACAATCTTAAAACCAAAAAAAAAATTATATCCTTTGTTTAAAACGCTTTGATTATTTTCTAAAAGTTAAAAAAGGGATAGCATTGAACATAAAATGAAATGGAAAATTTCAAGATTTAATTCAACGATGTTCAATTATTCTGCCAATAATTAAAAATGATTATGTAGGTAACATTATTAACCTAAAATGTTAAATCTCTTTTATTTACGTAAACCAAAAGAAATAAACAAGAACATAAGATTAAAATCGCTGTAAGTGTGATTAGTAGAAGTGCTTGCGTTAAATTAAACAAAAAACAAATATAAAGAAAAAGATGAAAATGAATCTAAACCAAAAGTCTAAAAGATTTAAGAAATGTTAAACAAAGCAATTTATTTTATTCTTATCCATTCTTATTTATTAACTTAAAAAATGGTGAAAGTTTCAAAAAAAACTAAATTGAACATTTACAAACATTACAAACCCAATTTAAATTAAGTTTTATCTAAGGCTTGTTTACTTATTGCGCAATTCAACAAGTTTTGAAATCCATCTATCCTCTATTTCCTTGCTTACTCCTCAGTTTCAGTGATTTATAAATAAAAAATTGTTCTTTTTTGAATTTTCAAATCGCACAACCTCAGACTACCTTTCCAATTTAAAATCTAAGCGCAATAAGCAACAACTCCTTACAAAATTCCGCAAAAAAAAAACTTTAAATATCAAGGCCTAAGATCAAAAACTCTCAAGTTTTAATTAATTTCGATTCTAATAATTTTTAAGACATACTTTTTGTTTTAAAAATCCCACACATTTCATCTGAATCTAACCATAAACATGATGAAAGTAGCACAAAAATTTACCCTATGAATGCAGCTTATTAGGACATATCGTCATTAAAGAATTTTCTACAATTATAATTTACTTCCGTCAAAAAAGGAATGAAAAATAGTTTAATGGAAAGGAAAATATATTATTGTTATTTATAGCAAAAAACTAAAACTGATAATAATCAGATCCAAAATGTTAATGGAAGTGAAAAAAAATAATAAGCAAATATGAGTAAGTAAAATTTACAAGAATAAAAATGCGAAAATTTTGTAGATCAAGCTGTATGTGATTTGTCAATTAGGAGCTTTTATTTCAGGAAAAAATCCATAAAATGATTCATTTTATTATTAATTTATAACTTAATGAAAATCATACGAGATGAGTTTTTAAAAAATATTAGCAATACTATCCCATATTGTGTGATGAACTGTTGTAGTTTCAGCTACCGTTGTCGAACTGGGATTTGTTGATGAAGATGATGCATGAGTTGTTGAGGCACTTGTATTTGGACTAACAGTAGAACTGCTAGATAAATTTGGAGTCTCTGATGAACTAGGTGCTTTTGAAGTCACTCCCGTGCTATAATTTGATTGTAAAAGTATAGACTCACTTGATGCACTACTTACTGTCGTTGGAGCTGTGGAACTTGATGTGGATTCAGAAAAGGTTGAACTGATTGATTGTGATGTTCTTTCAGAAGCAGTCGAACTGCTTGATTGTGATGAACTCTCAGAAGCAGTCAAACTGCTTGATTGTGATGTGCTCTCAGAACCAGTCAAACTGCTTGATTGTGAAGTACTCTCAGAAGCAGTCGAACTGGTTGATGGCGTTATTGTCGTTGAAATTGAGCTTGAAATCGCTATTGCGCCAGTTGTCATGGATTCCTTATTGTCATCTTTTAGAAGTTCACCAACGGCATATCCACCTGCTGCGCCAGCTAAAGCTCCAACAGCTAATCCACCAACTGTCCCTAAACCACCTCCAGATGATTGTGCTGGTTGTTGCTGAATCACGTGATGTACAATAACTGGTTGAGCAGGTGGTGCTGACTGTTGATTTGTTGCAGCATGATAACTTGGAGGTACATCATTATGAACTGGCTGCAATGGAGGTACTAAAGTAGTTGTCGGTGGCAGATGTGTTGCAACAGTTGTAGGAGCTTGTTTCGGTTGAGTTGTCCTTCGTGCCGTTGGCTTATGATGTTTTGGAAGAGCAGTAGCACTTAATATTGACAGTACACAAATTAATCCAAAAACTCTTAAAAATTTGTCGTTTATCATTTTTGATCAAGCTTATCACACAAACTGTTACCAAAAGACTGCTGAAATTTTTCATACTGTCTTTATTTATTGACTCTATGTACACGCAAGTTTGAGTTGAAAAATAAAATGTGTTAATTTTCTTAATAAATTTGTGATTGACACGACTCGTCATAGACTGTATTTATTTACTTAACAAGATGTTTCGTAATTTCTTAAACAAAGGTGATAAATTTTATGCAGCAATGTGGAAATATAATAGTTACAGTAGCGTGCAGAATATTATGGACGGTCAAAAAAATTTCGTTTTTATTCTCAAAAGCATACTTAACGTTGTCCAATTTAGATGAAATTTTCACCACTTATACTGTTTTTCATGTGCTTTCACATGATAAAATATAAATATGCTATAGTTAATAATTTTTGAAAAAACCGTTAAAATTCAAAATCAGGTGCGTGCAAAATATTATGGACGATTCTTTTTTGGTAATTTTTTTTATGTTTAAGCTATTTAAGCTTACTTTTTAAACTTTAAACATGAAGTTCAAACATTTTACTCCAATTTTATACATTCTTAATGGATGTGTAGCAAGTTTAAGGCATAAAAAAATCATGATGAAAAATTATGCAAATATTTTACTATTTTTGTTACTTTTCACCAATAGCAAGCATTAATATCGGTTATTTTGGACTGTAATGTATTGAATTCTTAACTATCTTTCTATTGATATATAATTTGTCTGTATTAATATAGTCTAAATGAAAAAAATTACGAAAAAAGTTCATTGAAGAGGGAAAAATTTCATCAACAAAAATATAAATTGATTAAAATTTCTTAAATATCCATGAAATATTACCCAATTTAGTCTTATTTTCTCACATTTATGTTGTAGATTAGTAATTGAGCAGTTATAAATTTATATTTTGAGTAATAAAGTCATAAAAAGAGAGCCTTCTGTATGACCAAAAGAAAATTTTAAAGACGAAAAAAATATTTGTCATTAAACTTTTAAATATGCATTTTTCTCTCTTGTTTTTGGCTTAAATAGTTGGCAAAGAGTATTTTGAGTTGTTTTTAATTGATTTACATAAATTTATACTGCATAAAATGTAAAAAATATTATGAAATATTTTTCAAGTTTCAACATGACTTTTTTCATAGTATTGGCTCATAAAAATATATCTTATCGTGCAATATTAAAATGTAATTCTACCTAATTACTAATCTACAACATAAATGTGAGAAAATAAGACTAAATTGGGTAATATTTCATGGATATTTAAGAAATTTTAATCAATTTATATTTTTGTTGATGAAATTTTTCCCTCTTCAATGAACTTTTTTCGTAATTTTTTTCATTTAGACTATATTAATACAGACAAATTATATATCAATAGAAAGATAGTTAAGAATTCAATAGATTACAGTCCAAAATAACCGATATTAATGCTTGCTATTGATGAAAAGTAACAAAAATAGTAAAATATTTGCATAATTTTTCATCATGATTTTTTTATGCCTTAAACTTGCTACACATCCATTAAGAATGTATAAAATTGGAGTAAAATGTTTGAACTTCATGTTTAAAGTTTAAAAAGTAAGCTTAAATAGCTTAAACATAAAAAAAATTACCAAAAAAGAGTCGTCCATAATATTTTGCACGCACCTGATTTTGAATTTTAACGGTTTTTTCAAAAATTATTAACTATAGCATATTTATATTTTATCATGTGAAAGCACATGAAAAACAGTATAAGTGGTGAAAATTTCATCTAAATTGGACAACGTTAAGTATGCTTTTGAGAATAAAAACGAAATTTTTTTGACCGTCCATAATATTCTGCACGCTACTGTATATAGGGCCAAATTGGGTTTTATTCTGTGAGTTTGGAAATAAAATTCGTTGATGTTTTGAGATTAAAGAGAATTTATTAAATTTAAAACTTATACTTTAAAACAATTATTTAACTTAAAATTCTACTTCCTAAACTGTTTACGGAACTTATCAAAGTGATAATCATCAGTAGCTCTTTTTGGAGCTTTTGTATTTGAATTGTCGTTATTTTGTCCAGGCCTCTTGCGTTGCTGCTCACCCTGATCAATGTTAACTAAAATATTATATTAAGAGGGTTTTAATAAAGTCCAAGAAGTATATAATTCAATCTTACATCTATGATGCTGCACAAAATTTACAGCATAATTTTTTGGGACAAATTGTGATGGTAAATCTTTCTTGCTCTTCTGATCTGCTAGAATTTTCATCTTAGCTTCTTCAGTTGCTTCGATATTTCTAATTTTTGCTTCAATTCCGAGATTAATTTCAGGAATTCCATTAAGCATTTGATTCGACAACATTTCTTCAGACTTTTTCGTGGAAGTTTCACGAAGATGCTTCGGAAGTGAGAGAATAGCTGCATCTTCTGGACTTAAGTATCGATTTGCATCAATTTCCTGATTCATGGCTTCCTGACCTTTTCTTTTGCTTAATTGCTCGTCAATATATTTCATCATCTGCTCGTCAGTATCACCTGAATTTAGAAATATTCTTAGATAATTAAAATAATGTATTCTTTATTTTAATCCTTGCAGAATAGCAAAAATGGAATTCTTAACTTTAAATAAACTTCTTTTCACGATAACAATATTTACAATAATAATAAGATTCCTACGATCAATATATATACATATATAACTTAATTATTCAACACTCCTCCTTAATATTAACTTCGCATATACTATGTTAATATTACTAACGCAGTCCACAATCATCAGTAAATTTCTTCAGTTTAATATTTCCTAACGGCTTGGTCATCATATCAGCTATATTTACGTCAGTGCTGCAATATTTCAGTTCAATCTCTCCTGAATCAACCAATTGCTTCACATAGTGATATTTAGTATCAATGTGCTTGCTTCTGTTGCTGAATTTCTGATTTGATATAAGTTTCATACTACTCTGGCTATCTGTACACAGAGTAGTTTAATCTGGAACGACAAACTCAGAAAAAGAATTGGTCAACATTTTAACCCATTTTAGCTCTTTGCAACTTTCTGAGAGTGCGATGTATTCAACTTCCATTGATGATAACGATACTACGTCTTGTTTTCTGCTGCACCACGACACAACACCTCCATTAATTCTGCAAATAAAACCACTGATAGATCTTCGATCCATCGAATCTTCAGCCCAGCTTGCATCAGAATATACTTCCAGTCTTCCAACTTTATTTCTGTCACTCAACTTTAAACTTAGACTCTTTGTTCCATTCAGATAGCGAATAATTCTTCTCGCTTCTATCAAATCGGTCTTCGTTGGCTTTGAAATCTTTTGGCTCAATAGTCCAACAGATGCAGCAACATCAGGTCTTGTATTTGTGCTAATTTACAACAGCTTCCCAATGAGTTTTCTATACTCATTATTTGATTAGAAATAATTTTCATCATGATGCCTAAAATAGCCAGTCATCAAAGGATATTTTGAAAATTTTCCATCATTAAGTCCAGCTTCTTCCACAATCTTCTCAATGTATTGTTTCTGACTTATATAAAAATTTCCATCTTCATCAAGTTTCACATCAATTCCTAAAAAGTGCTTTACACTTCCCATATCTTTTACTTCAAAAAGGCTTGCAATGTGATTTTTAAATTGTTCTATCAGTTTTTCATTATTCGATGCGACTAGAATGTCATCGACGTGAACAATCATATAGCAAGTATCATTTCCTTTCTTCATGCTACACAGACATTTATCAACTTCGCTTTGCTTAAATCCAAAACTTATCACTGCTTCATGATAAATTTTATTCCATGCTCTTGCTGCTTGTTTCAAACCATAAAGGCTTTTTCTTAACTTGCAAGCATCATTTCCCTCTTCAAATCCAGGTGGTTGCTTCATATATATCTCTTCCTCGATATCACCATTCAAAAATGCAGTCTTAATATCAAACTGCTTCACATGATAATTATTAACACCGGCTATCGACATAAGAATCCTAAATGTTGCTGATCGAGCTACTGGTGCAAACACTTTATCATAATCTTCACCATACTTCTGAGAAAATCCTTGAGCAACCAATCTTGCTTTATATGAACACACCAGGCCATTATCATCTCGCTTAAGCTTGTAAACCCATTTACAACCTATTGCACGTTTATTCTTTGGCAATTTCACAAGATCCCAGGTTTTATTTTGATTAATGGACTTAATCTCGTCTTCCATAGCTTTTTTACACTTATCAGCATCAACACAACTCAAAGCCTGTTTGAGTGTCTTAGGCTCAAAAGCAACTCTTGATGAATAAGTAACAAAATCACCAAGACGGTGGTCTTTGTCCTTTATTTCTTCTACTTGATACTTTGATTTCATCACTTCTTCCATTCTTCTCCTGAACCGAAACGTTCTGATCATTCATTAAATTATGATCGTCGATTTTCTGACTTTGGTCATTCTCAAATTCTCCATGTTCAAAATGTTCTTGATCTGTCTCTTCTTCATGCTCTTCTACCTCATTTACATCTTGAGAGTCTTCAGCATCATAAAACAATTCAGAATCATTGAATGTTTGAACATCAATTGTAGAACCAGATGAAAACGGGAACGGCACCAAATCACCGCTAGTTCTCTTCATTTCATGAGATGAATTCTGACTTATTTTCATGAACTTTTCTTTTAGAAACACAGCATCACGTGGCACAACCATCTTCCGTTGTTTCACATTAGCTTTTCAGCCTTCGGATCTAACTTCTTTCGCTTCTGATGAGGAATCATCACATAAGCGCCAACACCAAATTCTTTGAAATTTGAGAAATCTGGCTTCTTGTCGAAAAACTTCTCATATGGAGACTTTGGATCTTCTTTGCTCAAAACACGATTCAATAAGTAATTCGCATTCATTATAGCTTCATCCCAGTACTCTCGTGATATCCCTGACTCAGTAAGCATCGTCCTACATGCCTCAACTAAAGTCCTATTCTTTCTCTCAGAAATACCATTTTTCTCTGGTGAGTAAGCCACAGTACACTGAAATCGAATACCCTCTTAACGTAAATACTTCTGAACTTCCTCACTGAAGTATTCTGTGGTTCGATCTGTGCGGAACATTTTAACTTTCCGACCGAATGTGTTTTTCAACAGTTCAAAATACTCTATGACTTTAGACTGTACTTCACTCTTTGCTTTCAAAAGATATACTGCACTAAATTTTGAATAAACATCCGTGAATGTTGCAAAATATCGAAATCCTCCAACTGAGGTAGTTGGCATAGGGCCACAAATATCACTGAATATGCAATCAAGTGTATTTTCAACAGGTGTTGCCTTCTTTGGAAATGGATTTCTTGAAATTTTTTCTACAATCCATGATTCACACACATTTGAGCAATCACAATCGACAATTTTCAAACGTTTATCCTTCATCGCGAGTATATCATGCAAATTTCTGTGAGCTAATTTTCGATGCCATTCATGTACACAGCATCTATCCACTCTGTCATTAACCAAGCATGATCTTTCAACTTCAGCTCTTACAACATACATATCGCCTGATTTCTCAGCAATCTGCAATTGTTCCACACCTTCTACTTTAAGGTAACAGCCAGTTGAATCAAAAATAGTGAATGAGACAGAGATCAAAATACTGTCAATGCATGGCACCAGAAGAACGTCAGTCAGATCTACACTAAAGCTTTTGTTTCCTACAAATACATTCATACGAACATCCTCTCGTCCTATGTACTCAACATTCTCGCCATTAGCAACGGTAACCGTACCCCTAAAACTTTCATCATAACTAAGGAAAAACGACTTACTGTAGGTCATGTGAGACGAAGCACCAGAGTCAATACAACACTGAGAGTCTTTAGGATCGTAACAATTTCTGCGCTCTCCACTGAAATTTTCCATTTTGACGGTTTCATTCTTCAACATTGGACAATTCCGCTTGATATGTCCTTCTCGTTTGCACTGATGACACTTGATGTGCTTCTTTGGACCAATGATAATTCAGTCTTGAACAGTTGCTTATAAAGTCTCATCTTATGTCCAGCTGAATCGTTGTGATGAAAATTCTTCAATGAATCTCATGCTTCCTTTCCTCCTTTCGCATCCGAAACATGTACCAGGTGATCATTATCAACCATCAAAACAATATGTGCCAATGCTTTTAAGCTTCTAACTACATCCTCTGGCTTTGAACTTCCCGGAACGATGATATCCCATAGATCTTCCTTGATCAAAATCATCTTCATTCGAAGTGCCCAGACACGATAATTCTTGCAGTTCAATCGCTCGCACATTGCAGATTCTTCTTCTTCAAACTTCATTGCGAAAAGGCCCATAACCTCTTAGATAATTAAAATAACGTATTCTTTATTTTAATCCTTGCAGAATAGCAAAAATGGAATTCTTTGCTTTAAATAAACTTCTTTTCGCGATAATAATATTTACAATAATAATAATAAGATTCTTCCGATCAATATTTATATATATATAACTTAATTATTCAACAAATATGATAAGCGAAACTTAGTTCTTATAATTGGAATATTGTTTGTTAAGTACCTATATTTGTTTCTGCCGAAAATTGTGTGCCTATACCCAAATCATATGCATCATCTTCACTAGATTTTAATTTTCCAGCTTTTAGCGCCTGCATATTAACCATACCACCATTCTGAACTTTAAAAGGATCTTTTACTGCTACTTCTTCCTCTAATGTCACTTTCTTTCCAAGTGCTAAAGATACAGCATTTACTCCATTTGCTCGATTCCTCAATTTTTGTTTTTCCTTGGTTTCTTCAAGTTTTGTTAAAATTTCAGCTTCATTACTTTTACAACCTTCTTCATTGTCTGAAGATACTCTCCGTTGCCTTAAGTTCTTCTTTTTGATTGGCTTAAACTGAATTTTCTCTTCGTCACACATTTTATTTAAAGAATTTAAAATAATTGAAATATTCTTGAATAAGTATAAACAAAAACAAATCTGCGTAGTTTTAGACCTGCAATAAAGTTTATCATTTTATAACATAACACGAGTTTCAAAATTTTTTTTAAATAACGGTTTCGTGACCCCATTATTAGAACTAAATCATAATGCTAATTTATTGGTATTGCATCCTTTAAAGTTTAAATAGATCTATGAATATTTTTGTTTGTAAATATAATTTTCATTACTTTAAATTTGTCTCATCTTAAAACATTTTTAAAGATATTTTTCTAAACATTTTATAATGATTTCATTTTGCTGAATTTAAAAATCTGAATGAACATTAAAATGTAACATTTTTCTTACTTACTTTTACATAATTACAAAGAAAGTAAGTATGCAAATTATTGTACGATTCACTTTACTCAAAAAAAGAATTTCAAAAGATGAAATTTATTAACATCTAAGCTAATTTACCCACATTAAATCCATTCACTACTTATGAGATTTAAAGAAGAGCGAGACATCTAGAATTTATTTGGGGCCCGTCAAAAATAATAGGAATTTCAGTTTAACGGTTTAATAAAATTCAAAAATTTCACATATTTTCGAGCAAAATTACCAAAACTTTAATCAGCTGAAAATCTAATTAATACTCGTGAATTTGTAACTTTAGCTCTTTTAAAACACAAAATAGAACCTTAGAAACATACTATCGACATTTAAATATGAGCTGTATTACGTTTTAATTATGTTTTCAGCAATTTTCGAAAAAATAAATTTTTTTTGTTGACCAAAAACATACAAGAAAATTCAAAAAAATGATATTCGTTACAAGATTTTGAAACTTAAAGTGTTAATTTAAGTAACTTCCAATCATTGTATTGATAAAAATGATAATTTGAATGAACAAATAGAAGAAATAGCACAATTTGGTACAGAAAAACTAAAATTTAAGCTGGGAATAAAGAAGTTATTAAAGGTTGTTTACACTCAAAATACCCTTTCCCGAAAATTCTACGTCATAGGTGGGTATTCGAATGGCTCTACAGAAGGAACCAGACATGCTAGGAAAATGATAATGATTTCAAACTCTTCGTCTCGGCAAATTCTATAATACCAATAAAGAACAAAATACAGTTTCATGGAAAAAAATCACAAAAAATGACTAAAAGTGGTCTCCGATGACGTAGAATTCATTTTTGACGGGCCCCATTTTATTTTTCAATCATGTTTATCCGAAAGTTCTGCTAAAAAATCATTTGGAGCTTAATATTTCACACATAAGCTTATAAAGATTCACAAAGAATTTAATCACTAATTGAAATTGTAAGATTATTTTTACGTAGCATATCCTCTAAAATTCTTTTAAGCATTTGAACTTTTGCACGTTCATTGAATGTGAACTGAACTAATATTATGAGATATGTGCTAAGGCTCTTGACAATCTACAAATGAAATAAAGAGTTCAAGGTTTATAATTGAGTGTTTCTATTGAATATAAATACCGTAAATATTAAAGTTCTGTCTAACTTAAACATCCCACATGCTGTAAATTTCACCTTCCTATGCATCAATTGCATTGACAATTGTGTCAGTTTGATTTTTAAATCCTCATTGGTGGTTACATTCAAAAGTTTGTGTACACAAATTGCTGTCTTTTCACTTTCACGCGCCGCAGCAGAACTTACGAAAACAATTGCAAAAACGGATGCAAAGTGTACGGCAATTTGGTACGAAAAAAACAATATAAACTCAAATGTATTAAAATACTCGCCATGATTTGCTTCTCCGAATATTGCGCCGAGGATATAATAGCTAGAAGTAAATGAAAAATGTTTATAAAAAAGCTTAATTTACATTTAAATGATCGAAATAAATTTTTCATATTTTTTTTTTATGCTCATTACGTATTGAAGACAATTATGAGAAAACAAACAGCGACAGTTGTCAACATTTGTGCTGTAAAATATTCTTCTGCAAGATTGCATGCATCGCATAGTTCATCGTGTATTTTAGCAATTTGCGATATAATCTCAGTTGTGTCTTTTTGAGAGAGATTATAGAAGCTGCAAATACCACAAGGACGAACAATTTTGCAACGTTTTTCCGCATCAAGTGTTTTTTGTTGATATAGACTCTTTAAGACCTGGACGAAAATAAAGAAGAGAAAATTGATAAAAATTTAAAAGTCGTTTTTTATTGATGTCTTTCAATTTAGCAAGAATCTCAGTGTTTAATGTCATACAGTTTTAGATTATGCTTTAGAAATTTTTTTCCCTTGTCGTCAGTCCTTGTGTAGTATGGAGTAGGTTTTTGTCAAAAAAATAATGAAGATGCACAGACAGTTTGTAAAACAGGATGTTTTGCCATTTTATCTTAATTAAGGTTTTATCCATAATATTTACTTAAGTCTAAATTGATTTACTAAACTACAAAGAATTGTTGAATATATGTCTGCATGCTGACATAATTGAAATTTATGGCTTCACATATCTAAAAAAACAAATCTTATGTAGGCGTACTTTTCTTATGTAAGAATATAATACAGCATTTGGTTCTATTACATTTATGAATGAAAAATACTTTAAGGATTTCTATAAATAAGTTTTTTCAGGCAGTATTTGATTTCTCAACCAGATTCTATATTCAACAGCAATAAAGTAAAGTATCAGCAAATTTTTAAAAAATGTGTTGCTGCTTTTACGAGGTAATCCCATCGTTCAGCATTATTCATTCATTTTGAATTTTTAAAGATACCAGGAAGTAGCTCTATTGAAAATGAAGAGCAAAATTAGCTTTAATACGTAGAACCAGATATTTTCATTACATTTTTGATTTTAATTTATATTCTTCTGGATTGAATTATGAACAAAATTTTGTAAATACGCCGGGTTTTTCTTTAAAGTTAGAAAAGTTTTTTTTTTGTTTTAAATCAAGTCTATTTCATCTTAGACGTCCGTCTGTTATGCAATCAATCTCTTATTGACAATCGGGCTGTTTAAGACTCAATTAAAAATAAATTTTAAGAGCGAAGCTACAGTACCGTTCAAAACTGTTTCCATGTTTCATGAAAAATTTTCTTTCCAACATATTTCTTATAAAACGTAATATTTTCGCAACATGTTATATATCGTTTTAAAGCTTGTTTAATAAGCTATTTAAAAATGATAAGCAACTTTGCAAAATATTTAATTAAAGTAGATGTTTTGCTTAAAATATGCACTGTCACATGGAAACACTTTTGAGCTAATAATTGTTTTTGCAAATTTTGATGCATAGCAGAACTAATTGATTAAAGTTTGTTTATTATAGTAAAAAGCAAGTAAAATATTCGATAAAAGCACATAAATTAAGTTGCTAGACATAGTTAAAATATTTATATAAGAATGTCAAATCACTTGATAAATTTTCACATAATTTTGCAAAAAATTACTGAATTAAAGCCAAATGTTGTGATGTTGTTTGAAGTGGAGGAAGTAATAAAAAATTTTGAATATTTGTGTTTGCAAGTAAGAAAATTTAAGTGTTTTCATGAAATCTTATCAATTTTTTTGCTTTCAAATGCTTCTATTTACAATTAAAAACTGTTTCTCAGATTTAATAAGCTGAAATACATTTTTATAGATGCAAACATCACAACATTTGGCTTTAATTCAGTAATTTTTTGCAAAATTATGTGAAAATTTATCAAGTGATTTGACATTCTTATATAAATATTTTAACTATGTCTAGCAACTTAATTTATGTGCTTTTATCGAATATTTTACTTGCTTTATACTATAATAAACAAACTTTAATCAATTAGTTCTGCTATGCATCAAAATTTGGAAAAACAATTATTAACTCAAAAGTGTTTCCATGTGACAGTGCATATTTTAAGCAAAAAATCTACTTTAATTAAATATTTTGCAAAGTTGCTTATCATTTTTAAATAGCTTATTAAACAAGCTTTAAAACGATATATAACATGTTGCGAAAATATTACGTTTTATAAGAAATATGTTGGAAAGAAAATTTTTCATGAAACATGGAAACAGTTTTGAACGGTACTGTAATTGCAAGTGACACGATAATAAAGGAATTAATACTTTACTTATATTGATCTTAATTAGGAATTTAAGAAAATTTGAGCCATGGCCTTTATTTGATTTGGAAACGAAAAAGAGATTTTTTTATTCCTTTAAGTCAAGAATAGACATTTTTATTCGTAAGGCTTTGCCTATCATTTTGATTAAAAAAATTCAAAGTTTCCCAAACTTGCAGAAATTCACAAAAACGTGTTGTTTTTAATTTGAGATTGGATATTTCATTTTATTTTACCTTATTGAGTAGGAGAAATCGATGCTTCATTTGCTTCACAAAGCATAAAAATAACACAACAATGATGGATATAATTAGATGTGGTTGAAAGAATGATACCCAACACGTATAATTTGGATAAAGATTTGCCATTTTAAATAAAACCCAGCTTCCGATTAAATAAGTATTAAATACCACAAATTTCACTATCAACACTAAAAATATAAATTTTAATGTACTTTTATAGTCTGTCTCAACTCCAATTTCTTTTAATTGTTCATCTATTTTTGCCATTAAATGGAACCAAAGAATAAAAGTTTTTCGTTTGCAGAAACTATATAGAAACACAGTACATATTCCAATTAATCCAGTGCACAATTGCAATGTATCACCAAGAACAGATATTTCAGTTTTAAAAAAATAAGACACAATGCTGTCGTGAATTGTTATTGTTCGTAGATAACAAAATGCAAATAATGACATGTGTAGGATTAGAATGAAGAATCCAAAAAAGTGAATTTCCAGTTTCCTATTTCCACAAGAGCCTGAAAGCTTTAATGGGGCGATTCCCGACACAAAAGCTATTTTTAATAACAAGTTTTGTGCTGAATATATATCAACTGGGTTCAAAAGTTCGCGGAATGGATTTAAAGATTTAAATCGTGACATTTTATCAAGAAGAATCAATTATTTCGTTGACTTGGCAACACGTTGATTGTATCAAAATCCTAATTTGATGGTTACTTGAAAAAATATCAAAGAAATCCAATTTTCTTATAACTCAACAAGTTAACAACATTTTAATAATGAATTTTTTTGTGTACACGTTTGTTGTTTACTTCCTTACGCTCTGAAACCCACGAAAGAACTAAACTAATTTACATTCACAAAAGCAAAAGAGGACTTCATTGACTCGTTTTTACGCATGCGATAAGGCACCTTCTGGCTATTATAAATCTCATCGATTCATTTATTGTTAATTTAGCATCAATTTTAGAATTTATTAAGTAGATTGCATTTTATTTAATTTATTGGCAATTATCCTTTCATTTAATTAACATGAATTAAAAGAGTGATCGTCAGAAATATGTATACTATGCACTTCCTTTCATGTAAAACATCTTAAATATCTTAAAATATAATAAAGATACACTTGCCTTTTCAGAACATTTTCTCAGTATAAGAAGAATATTTCTTAATTTCCAATAATCCATATTAAAGTCCCTTAAAGTCTAATACCTCTATTTAGATGCTTTTTGCTATGATTTTAATAATATAAAAACTGCCATTGATCTGTTCGCATGTTTTCACTCAAATTATTCATGTCCTAAATCCTTCTGTACCTTGTTTTTTCCGTCATGCTTGATAAGACACTTTTCTAGTACCCTTCAGAATAGTAAATATACAATAATATATTAGGTACATAAAAAGTCAAATGATAAGAATATATTCCTTCCGTGTCAAAGTTTCGTTTATAGATTGGAGTGAAATTCACTTAATCCATTAATGTATGAATTTTACCGCAATTTTGCAAAGACACTAATTAATTTGCTTTAAATATCCTTGACCTTTGAAATAAATTATTGTCCTTTTCAGACCATTGAAATTCTTTTTTTCGTTTTCGTGTTGTTGAAGTTTTGATGATAGAAATATGATAAAATACTGTCAACAATATTTTAAAAGAAGTGACGGTAAGGAAATCGAAAACAATCATCAAAAATTACAACAATTAATTTTGCTACAAAATCATAATCCTAAGATAATCATTACTTTTTTTTAAAAAAAAAACTTTCACTTTTAAGGAAGTGACATGCATGAAAGCATCATTAGTTAAACAATAATAAATCAATAAAATTTACCTGAAGATGCTGTGTGAATACAAACTACATCAACCTTTCACACACCAAATGGTCAATTACAATTTATAATCGTAAAATTGCATTGTTTTAATACCTTCAAGATGTTAATTGCATTTCAGAACACGCAAATAATTCAGTTGACTTGACTTAAAATCAATTTACTCTTTGGACAACTTCAGATGATCTTTGATAATTTTCGATTTTCATTAAAGCTAAAAGCGCTTACATCCTAATCGAAAGTAATGAACAATAAAAATTTTTAAACTTGCTTATTTTTCTTGCACATTCACTTATTTTCTATTAGTTCCATAGTAAGTGTGCATAACAACTGCAGATTCGCAATTCATATTTAATTGTCTCTTAAAGGTAAAGTCAAGAAATTACTGCTAGTTTTTCATGTATGCTCATCATTTATTGCTTGAGAGTGAAAACATAAGCATCTTGTGAGATAAAAGAAGAGGATTGTATGACTTTACCAATTTCTATTAATAAAAACACCGATAAGCATTACCTCAAACTTAATATTACGAAAAGAGTTGTTTTAATTATTATGTGAATTATGAGTTGATGATTATAAAAATTCTTTCATATCGTGACATGGATAATTGAATTGTTTAAAGATGTTTGTGTTATCAGTATTTAGTATGGAGTTTAATTTAACCATGCTAAATTTTAATAAAGAAAAATATTTATGAACATAATCATAAATTGATGTAGCCTAATTTCGTTACTTCTTTTAAACTTAATGAAATGGTAATCCGCATTAAATGACTATCAAGCTGGGATTATATGTGATTTTGTTGTAATCAGACAAAAATTGACTTAAACATAATCAAATGTGCAGGCAATTTATTTCTCTTGTTTACACGCAGAATTTGTGTCAAATTTATTATGAACCTGAATTTTTTCACAGAATTTGAGTCTTCATATGCTTTTAGGCAAAGGGAGTGATTTTGTGGATTTAAAAAGAAATATTCAGGCACAAAAAAAAATTGTTTCAATGACCTTGATTATTCATAAATGTTGCAAACTTTTAGTAAATTAGAAAGTCTAGTTGCATGATTTTTTATGACCATCAATAAAATTGACCAAATTCAAAAGACTACCGACAGTTTAAGGTAATTATTTAAATCAAAATTTATAAAATAGATGCATATGTTAACATAAAAAATACTTAATAATATTTTCAACACCTCAACAGCTTTAAAATTATGAACTTTGCCTATCAATAAAAAAAAGTAAGTGAAAGATGAAACAGACTCTTGATTTATGTATGATATTTCAAAATATTCCCTTTATGAACTTTTTAAAAAGCATACTCGACAGGTGAATAGAAAAATAGATAAAAGTGCGCAGTTAGTGAGATATGTGTCGGTTTTAAAAAGAAAAGAATCGCTGTGTAATAAAACTTACTTATTTCACTTCATTCAGTTTTCACTTTTGTTGTTGATAGAAAATCGATTTCATATTTTTTTATGCTCCATTCATGTCTTTAGATATTTCAAGTACCATTCAAATAAAAATGTAAGAATCATAAAAATATGGAAATGGTGGCAATTTGTTATTAACTTTAAGAGTACATATTCGTGAAGTTTCTATACCTAAGTGTTATTTTGAATAACACGATTTAAAAATCGGCAGACGTCTGTCAAAGACATAACATAATCAATTAATCATAAACGGATGGATTATGTATTAAAGATTTTATGTAATATGTGTATGTTCAGAAGAAATCAATTCTTTAAAAGCTCTCGGATATGAGAAATTTTGGAAAAAAAATAACATTTTTTGTTGGTTTTATCTTTCATTCGATTAAGTCTTCAATGTTTCTAGGGAATTACGATAATTTTTTATTATCCATCACTTGTTGCCACGCAATGTATCCATTTATTCTTGATACGGAAATGCTTCATCTAATTATTTTCATTTTTAATTGAGTAATTTCGGTAATCTTCTTTTTGGTCACATTTATTGTGTCTCTTATTACTTTTTGAATACTCTATCTCTATGTGATTACTCAAAATATATTTATTACCAAAATATTGTTGTTCATTAAAGTGAAATGAAAATCGTTTAATTAAATTAAATAAAATATTCCCCAACACAATCCCGTAACCAAGGTTATTTTAATAGCAACTGTCCTTTTTGATGGTTTTGAAGTTGTTTCCTCAAAACTCAACTTTGATCTAGATATTTATCCTTTTTTTCTCATTTTTCAAAATAAATCTTTTCATAAAATTCTATTGATGGATCAAACTGAACAAAATTGAAAGTTGCTTCTTCAAAATGATTTAAAACCCATTATCAAGACAACTTTATTCATAAAAATGCAGACTTCTTATTACTTCCTGGACATCTAATTGTAAAACAGTCGAGTAGTTTTTAGCTGATTTAAGGTCCCCTTTAAGTCCTAAGCAATAAAATAAAGAAGTTCGCATTGCATCAAAGCATCAAAACTTAAGCGAAAAACATCTTAAACGATTAACAACAAGAGTAGCAGCAACATTAAATAATATTTTGTTTCATCCGTTCGAAGCATTAAGAAAATCTTAAGATAAGATTTAGTGATGCAAAAGAGAAGATTTTCTGGTAAGTTTACATGTAAAAAAGATTCGAACAAAAGACCAAAATATTGAGAAAAAAAACACAACACGTTCATTTCTTCTGCTGTTGATGTTGTGTTTTCAGTCAGTTGGGGACATTGTTGTTGAAGACTAGACGCACACAGCAGAAGCTTATAAAGCTTTGCTCATTTCGCTGAGGCAACTCAGTCTCTTACCAACTGTTCAACAGTTAACACAATCAATAATCGTACAGTGAATATTTCGTTTATTTTGTTCATCAAGTGAAAGCGAAAAAGAGCAAAATATTTTTTTCAAAGAAGTTAAAAAAATTAAGATTCAAAAAATTTAATAAAGAAAGAAACAAAAATTAATAATTTAAAGGTAAGTGCAGTGGAATTAGTGTATTATGTTATTGATACTTGCGGCACGCAAAGAACCGTTACAATTAAAAAGCAGATTGAATGAATACAAAAATTGAAAACAGAAGTTTTAGATGGATATGCTGAAAACGTGAACTAATTAGCATAAATCTGTGATGAAATTGTAGAATTTCTTTTAAGCACAATTAGCGGTAGATGGTTATTCACGTCTCTGTTGAATGACGATGGCTCTATTTTATTGGAAATCTTCTTTATTTTTGAATTTCTAACAATAAACTGCAGTACTATGGAGTTATTTGTTACGATATTGTGAAACATTCTGAACGTGAGCATTCAAAAATAGAAGACGTGCAGGAAATTTGTAATTCACAAAGATGTGCAAAAATTCATGACTCTATATTCACAAATTATGAGTACCTGGTTTTAGTTTCTATTTAAAAATGAAGAGAAAAATATAGTTTGTAAATGTGGATGGAAAATTAATGCAAGAAGTGT